TGCGTCGATAATCTCATTCATGCTTGGGTTTGGCCCTTTATAATCCACAAGTTCTTCTGCTCGTGGTCTTCGTCCGAACCGTTTCGTAAAGGATATCTTTTTCCGGGTGTTCTCGGCCCACCTTTTGGAGGCTATCGATGTATACCACTCCTGCTTGGTCTGTAAGGGGATGTGATAGTCAGCGGTTGTGAGCAAACTCTTGTATTGTGTCACTAATACCTTTTCTGATTGGTTGTCGAACTCTTTTATTGACAATGGGAGAGCTTTAATGCCAAGATAATGGCCCATGTAGAGCCATGAGTTGATCCCTAAGCCAACGACCAGAGGGAAGGGTTCCAGCCACGTCGCATCCGACGATTTGATTGAACAGGCAAGTCCTGCTTTCAGTGGCTCTCGGGGGACGTATGGGTTCCACACGACGTTGGGACAGACAATTCTACTGATGTTGTGTCCAAGTCGATCCTGGGTTCTCTTGGCAATGTCGCAGACGGTTGACTGCGTGCTCCCTCCATACACACTTGACAGGAGGAGGCGCGATACAGTTCGGCCGTGTAGACCGTGTCGAAAGTCGAGTGGCAGATCGTGGGCATCACAGAGACGCAGGCGACGTTCTACCGCTGCTGCGTCGAGGACAGGACCCTCGGTTTTGTCTGGGTCCTTCTTATCGTCCTTCTTTTCTTTCCCTTTCACCCTGTCCTTCGTATCTTTCTCGTCATCAGACTGATCGTGCTCATTAGACAAGCCGGGATAGAGTCTAAAATGGTTCACCTTCAAGGCCGTGTTGAAGCTCCCTGAGCCGGGATTCCTTAGTAGGATGTCATCATCTATCACCTCTTTCTTGGGCACAAGATCTACAATCTTCCTCCTTCTGGATGATAAGGACGTCAATTTAGGTGTGGTCCTGAGAGCACTTTTGTCATCGTCTGCGTCGATTGCGGGGCGATCGGGCCGTTGATCGGCTCTGGTAGCCGAGTCTTCTGAAGAGGTCGAATGAGGATAAGGACGCATTGATCAGTCAAACGGATGAAATTAAGGACAGAATAGTAGCTCGTGATATCGAAGAGTAAATACTACGGTATCATCCTGTAAAAGCAGGAATCGCGGAGTTCGGGATACGGAGAACAGCTGCTTGTTTGTGTTTGTGGCGACCCTCGGAAGATTTCCGTCGGCATTCAGACGACGACCACCAGGGACCCTTCCACATCGCGAGACCTCGTCCAGATCGTTGACGACTCCTCGCACATATCATGCCAACCATTGAACAGCGTCGGTCATCAAGCAACCGGTCCCAGAAACATGCTCCAAGGGCCCACAGCCGGACCTCATCACACGCGTCATCCAAACAGACCCACGGCGTAGGCGGTTTCACGGCCATCGAAAGGAACGCTTCCAAGGAGAAGGTCGATAGGGATTTGCGCCATGTCCTAGATAGTCATAGGGATACCAAGCGGAGAGTTGGGAGTATCAAGGTGTGTCGGTATCTCTCTCCCTCGAACTCCTTGAGTTACCGGCCTTCCCTGCCCCTCCCTCGCCCCCCAAATCGCTAATTGCATGCTACCATTGTGCCATAGGCTCACTCTCCAGAACCTCCCGAAGTCCGGCCGCCACCGCGTGGAGCTCCGATGGTGAAGAAATCTGCTGGGGGTCTCCCTGGGCAACCGAAGCACGTCAAACTCGCCCCCCCTGCGATTGATAACGATGACGACGACGACGAATGGGTCTCAAGCGAGAGCGGTGTCGTTACACCAAACCCGGAACCTAATATCTCTTCCGTTATGAATGACTACAAGATAGTGTCGCCCACCCAATCGCGAACACCACCTGCCACTCGACAGCCTTTACCACCCGCCGAACCCTTTGAACGGACCCCTTCTCCGACGGACACCGCGAAGCTATCGAAGAAAGGCCCGCAGAGCCGAATCCCCCCTGCACAACATGACCCCACCCCACCCCCTTCCCTCGCTCGCCCTCGGCCGTTCCAGCACCACCATCTTGTGTCTTCCCACTCTATCCGCCTTCATAAACCTCAAGCTTTGATCCGGACGACGTCTCATGCCACTCCCCTGGCCTCTCCGTCTTATCTAACCGCTACTCCCTCTCAAGCAACATTTGCAGAATCACCACCTCTGTCCGCTTCCCCTCCCTTATCTGCAGGCCTTCGACGGGCTTCGTTCTCCTCTGCCCGGTCTGTGGCCACGCTTCCTGTCCCATCCACGACCAGCTCCACGTTCAGTGATGATCGAAAACGGCAGAGAACGGTGTCTACAATGTCCACCTCGTCCGCGGCGTTATCTTCGCTGGCAGCAATACCACGGTTGTACAACTCTCGACAAATTCCATCCCAGCCCATCATCTCCAAGTTCGCTGTAACCGAGGCAGAAGAGGATAAACACCCTCTCCTACGACAACCCTACCTGTTGGAGCATATCAGCCTGCTACACTATCACGATCCTTTACGAGACGCGGCAAAGCGAGTGTCGAAAGCCAAAGCACGGAGCGAACGAAGCTGATCATGTATCTTGGTCGGTCAGCCAGAGAGTTGTGGGTGTCTCGTTACTTTACTATTTATAAGAAGCGTTTTCGCTGTCGGTTACTATTCAGAAACGGATGATGCCACGTTTTACCTTGCTGCAGTGTACCAATATCGCATACTAATTCAACAAAGTTGTACTACGACGTGGAAATCGCCTCGGTAGCTCCACCTTGGTTATCGGTGTGGTATTCAGTGCCTCGTTGAAGCGCCCACGGTCTTGTGTACTTCGGCCGCGGCTCAAGTAGCAAACGAATAGTTCGACACTCCGCCTCCACGCTGCGGTTACTAGAAGGCCCACATCCCTAATGCTGTAGGTTGCTACGAGATTTCGGTGGTATCTTATCTGGGGGAGATAGCCCGGGTGAGACATCGTCCAGCCGAAAAACACAGTCGGCCGCTGCAACCTTCAGGCGCAAGCAGAGGGAGGACTTTTACGAGCGCGTTTTAATTTGATTCGGTATGTCGTGTGCTTGATACACTAAGAGCAAAACTGGAGATGCCACAACCGATGTAAGCTGCATACCTTGGACTTGTAAAAACATTCCTCGAGGCTGATGAGGTGTTTTCAGACGTGGATTACG